GTTTTTGTTTCAGGCCCCGTGGATTCTTGCTAATGCCATTAGGAGCACTAGGAGGAGCCAGAGGAACCTGATTGTTTTACAGATGATCTGTCTCATGTACTACTGTCAGGATACAGTAAAAGTTTTTAGCAAATATGACAAAAGGTTATTTTTATTTACAATTTTTATACAAATTACCCACTGCAGCTTTAGGCAACTTGCAAAATACAGTCATTTAAGAAGTGTTTTTCTTGCAAATATGGTTGTGTTTGCTATGTTTTACATCAAATTTGGTTAACCATTATTCCATTTTTTAAATAAAAGCTTCTTACGTTTTTTTCTTTTTTTTCTCTGTCAGTTATAAACTTGGAGATGAAGAGCGGTGGTTTGTGGGTTCTGGCCAACATCAATGTAACTGGATATTACCGGGTAAACTATGACCTTGGAAACTGGGATAGCCTACTTGCTCAACTTCACTCAGGGCACCAGGTACACAGTCTCAGGCTGGCTCTCGCATGTTTCAGATTTTACTGTCTGGTGGATCCAAGACCTTGGGTGTCTTCAGTTAAACAGTGTGGTTCCATAGGTTTACTTTTCTGTTCTTTTGCTGTCTCTGTTTTCTTTCTCTTCCATTACTTCTGTCAGTATTTACAGATTGTATAATAATTACTTATGTTTCATATTCTGCTTGACACACTGTGCAGGTTATACCAGTGATAAACAGAGCCCAGCTTGTGGATGATGCTTTCAATTTGGCCAGGTATGTCAGTTTTTTAGCCTATTTCCATGCTTGTTCTCATTATGAGTTAGAACCCCAAGTAAAGCCAAGAAAAATACTTTTTGCTACATGTTACCAAGGTGAATAACAAAACAGGCCTAACATAAAGTATACCTGCCCTACAAAGGAAATCTTATTAAATATTGCTAGTAAGTAGCAAATAACACATAAAAAATGTGCTATTTAGAGTGTAACTAACGTGCCTCCTTTTCACTGTCCTCACACTTTTACCCTAAAAATGTAATGGCATCCCAACATTATGAGATTACTGATTCACATAAAATTACCATTCCACAGGGCGTCATGCATGAAAATAAAGAAGGTTGTGTTTCCACTGCATGGTTCAATTCAGCTCGATTCGAATCCACTCGTTGTGGATGGTACATGGCACTGGTGTAATAAAAAATGTTTTGCAAAAAGCGCTGAAGAATTGGTAAATGGACCTGTACTTGTATAGCGCCTTCCAGTCTTCCGACCACTCAAAGCACTTTTACACTACGTGCCACATTCACCCTTTCATACACATTCAATCAGTGATGACAAAGGCCATTGAACAGAAACTAGCGCATTCATACACATTCACACACCGATGCACAGCAATTTGGGGTTCAGTATCTTGCTCAAGGATACTTCGACATGTGGTGGGAGGAGCCAGTGATCGAACCAACAACCTTCCGATAAGTGGACGACCCGCTCTGCCTCTGAGCCACAGCTGCCCTCTTAGATGCCTCTATGGGATTTAAAACAAGATAAAGTGGCCTCAGGTTTACCCAAACTACAAAAGCGAAACAATAAAAAACATATTCACTGCCATTGTATCGCCATTGTATTATTATACATTGTGGAGGCAGAAATCACAGAGACAGATATCCCAACTTCCGATTAAATAATGTAAATTGTGTATCTCTTCTCTCTGCAGGGCTCAGCTAGTCACCACTACTCTTGCTCTGAGGACAACCTCTTATCTGTCTGCAGAGACAGAATACTTACCCTGGCAGTCTGCTCTGGATAATCTGAATTTTTACTACCTCATGCTGGACCGTACTGAAGTCTATCAGCCTATGCAGGTACACTGTATTATCTGTGTGTCAGTGACAAACATTTTACCAAGTCTTACTATTGCAAGATTTTAAAGCATAGTTTAAAGCATACTTGTATAGTTAAAATACCCTACTTACAGTATGTTCATTTACATAACCATGGTTAGTCGTTATGCCCCCTGGTGGCCAATAGGAGGAAAAGCAGTGTCTACAGATAAGCAAGTGTCTTTTACTCACCTCTCTCTAATAATTCTAGGACTACATAAAGAAGCTGGTAACGCCCCTCTTCCTGCACTTCAAGAACATGACATCAAATTGGACCCATGTTCCTTACAGACACACTGATCAGTGAGTGTACTCAATTACACAGTACACAACAATTAAAAGCCTAACAGAAAAAAGATGAACACAGTTATATACTGAGAGGGTTAGCGAAATCATTATATTTCTGAAAATGCACACACCGGTTTCCCAGACTCCCATTCAAAGCGAAAGCTGGGGGAGGTGTGCTGACCTACTCTGATTAGAGGTCGTTATAACTTTTTTTTTCAATATTAATGTCATGACGTAAATTAGTCCCAAACTTTTAACTCTGTCAGCATTAGACTTACAAGGTCCAGGGTGATTTAGAACCTGTTCAACCCACAAAATGTCGATTTCATAAATTTGATAAGAATGTCAATTTTTTAGTTTTAACGTTATTTTCTTGGCCTTTTGCCAGAGACAGCTGGAGATAGACAGGAAAAGGGGGTAGATAGAGGGGATGACACACAGCAAAG